ACCTGGCTATATTTTCCATCCTTTACATCCTTCTGTCTGTTCAAGAACCAGTCTGGGATCTTGTACTGGCGTGGATTCTGCATAATGGTGATCACACGTTCCACCTCCTCATCAGTGAGTTCTCCTGCCCTCTTGGTGAGGTCAATGTCTGCTTTCCTCAACACCACCTGAGCATATCTTCGGCCCACACCCTTAATGGCAGTGATGGCAAAGGCTATTTTCCGCCGCCCATCGATGTTGGTGTTGAGTACTCGCAAAATATCCTGGAACTTTTCAAGGATCACTAGCGACATGGCGGCAGCACAAGCGGGGGCCTGTAGGCCTTGTGTGGAAGACACCTATCCCATGCATAGAGCTTTTACAGAAATAGTTATACCACTTCCGAAAATATCTCTGTGACTTTTGCACACCGTATTAAACAGTGGATTAATTTTGAAATTACAATCCTGAAGCACATTAAAATTCAGACTTTGATAACACTTGGATTAAACACCAAAAACCCTTTCAATGAGAATTTTGTTATATTACATTAGCAGTAGTCACGGCTCAGTTTAGGATTTCAGACCTCCAGTCCCTCTCCACAAGCTCAGCTCATGCCCCAGGCATTATTCCTTCTTCCTATTTAGTTTTGCCCCAGACTAATTTCTACCTCAAAAGAGTTTCTTTTCCAGACATGGACACCTACCCAGATTCCTGATATATTTCCTATGTACAGACTCCTGATACAGACTATGTCCCTCAGTCTAAAGTAGAAAATACCGGACTCCTTCTTGCTGCCAGGACTGTGAGCTGAGGGTGACGATCTGAACAGTCAAAGCATGTGTGGGAGGGAGGAAGGCAGAGCCTGAAATGTGGCTTTGTGATTCTGTGACCTCATCTCCCCACAAAACTGCAATTAGGATTTCACCTGTAGTGTCAATGCCAGCTTACACTTGGGAAGCTGAGAATAGTTCTGGAAAACTTTTTTAATGCCTAGAATCTATTAGAAGTTTCTAGTGAGCATTTCCAAAGAGACCATTGGAGTGTTTGGGAAAGACTGTTTTCCACTATTTCTTATTTAAAAAAAAAAAAAAAAAAAAGCTATGAAAAGATTTTGTGACTATTATATTCCTAATAAGAAAAAAACATTTCAATTAAGTTCTGAATTTATATATAAAATAGCAGGCCAGGTGCAGTGGCTCACACCTGTCATCCCAGCACTTTGGGAGGATGAGGTGAGCGGACTGCTTGAGGCCAGGAGTTTGAGATCAGCTTTGGCAACACAGTGAAACCCCGTCTCTACCAAAAATACAAAAAATAGTCAGTCTCATAACCTGGTCTCAAAATAAATAAGTAAATAAATAGAACTAAATGTAAAAATAAATTCAAAAAATAAATAGTAATTTAAATATTCAGCATGCCTGAGAAAGGTTTATTTAGAATACAAGACATGCAAATAAAGGAATGTGGTTCAACATGTTTAAAATTAAATAAGAAGACAATATTAACTGGGAAAATAGTTTTTTAGCCTTGTAAATTATTTCTCATTAGCAAATTAACTTAGAAATCATACTCTATTAGTTTAATTATTAGTGATTACACATCAGAATATAAGAACAAATAAATTATTAGTGGGTATATATGTATTGGTTAGATACTTGAAATGTATTTTTAATAAAATACTTCAATGAACCTCTTCATTTTCTTACATTTATGTTATTTTGACCATGAGCATGCTATTTCCGCAGGTGATTATGTAGTCTTCCTTAAGATGTCCATTGTTTTACCATAATGCTAATCTTCAGAAGAAAACTGAGGACCCAAAGTCAAGTGTTCAGATGACTGCAGGGTGACCGACAGTGTGACCACCACCTCCTCAAAGCCAGTGAGCTAGAACCACCCTATTAAGTTGGTCCCAGCTTTGTGACCATCAGAAACTGTAGGATAAGACTGTAGGTTTTTAAAAATTATTTTCCTTTAAGTTTGGGGATACATGTGCAGAACGTGCAGGTTTGTTACATAGGAATACATGTGCCACGGTGGTTTGCTGCACCCATCAACCCGTCATCCAGGTTTTAAGCCCCACATGTATTAGGTATTTGTCCTAATAGTATTCCTCCTCTTGCCCCCCACCCGCTGACAGGCCCCTGTGTGTGATGTTCTCCTCCCTGTGTCCATGTGTTCTCATTGTTCAACTCCCACTCATGAGTGAGAACATGTGGTGTTTGATTTTCTGTTCCTGTGTTAATTTGCTGAGAATGATTCTTTCCAGCTTCAACCATGTTCCTGCAAGGGACATGAGCTCATATTGTATTTTACGGCTTCATAGTGTTCCACGGTGTATAGATGCCACATTTTCTTTATCCAGTCTATCATTGATGGGCATTTGGGTTGGTTCCAAGTCTTTGCTATTGTAAACAGTGCTGCAACAAACATCCGTGTGCATGTGTCTTTATAGTAGAATGATTTATAACCCTTTGGGTATATATCCAATAATGGAATTGCTGGGTCAAATGGTGTTTCTAGTTCTAGATCCTTGAGCAATCGCCACACTGTCTTCCACAGTGGTTGAACTAATTTACACTCCCACCAACAGTGTAAAAGCGTTCCTGTTTCTCCAGATCCTCACCAGCATCTGTTGTTATAAGAAGATTGTAATTTTTTTTTTTTTTTTTTTTTGAGACGGAGTCTCGCTCTGTCCCCCAGGCTGGAGTGCAGTGGCCGGATCTCAGCTCACTGCAAGCTCCGCCTCCCGGGTTCCCGCCATTCTCCTGCCTCAGCCTCCCGAGTAGCTGGGACTACAGGCACCCGCCACCTCGCCCGGCTAGTTTTTTTGTGCTTTTTAGTAGAGACGGGGTTTCACCGTGTTAGCCAGGATGGTCTCAATCTCCTGACCTCGTGATCCGCCCGCCTCGGCCTCCCAAAGTGCTGGGATTACAGGCTTGAGCCACCGCGCGCGGCCGAAGATTGTAATTTTAAGCCACTCAGCTTTGGGGTAATTTTTTATGCAGAAAGATATAACTAGTACAGCCTATGAGCCATCAATGCCACTTTTCAGAGACATCCAGATAACACATACACATTCAAAATTCGAGAAGTACGCTGATATAATTGTACATTCTACCTAATATCTAAAAATGAAGCAATAGGGCATGGGTACAGTGGCTCACACTTGTAATCCCAGGACTTTGGGAGGCCAAGGAGGGCAGATCACTTCAGGTCAGAAGTTCGTGATCAGCCTGGCCAACATGGTGAAACCCTGTCTCTACTAAAAATACAAAAAATAGCCAGGCATTGTGGCACACGCCTGTAATCCCAGCTACTCGAGAAGCTGAGGCAGGAGGATTGCTTGAACCCAGTAGGTGGATGCCGCAGTGAACTGAGATGGCGCCACTGCTGGGTGACAGAGCGAGACTCTGTCTCAAAAAAAAAAATAAATAAATAGAACAACATTGAAAGTCTAAAATGAGGAAACTATTAAAGTCTGGTACATTCATATTCTTTAAAATTAGAAAATATCCCCAGAAAGTACTTGTGATTAAGAAAATCAATTGGTGGGGTTTAGGTAAAATATTAGTACAGAATTAACAGTGCACTGTGACTATATGTACTATCCTATACCTTAAATACATATTAAATAGTCTGGAAAGATACAGCTCAAACTAATGAAGGGATATGTTGATACAAAACTAGTATGAAACAAGGAATAATCAATGGGAACATATTACCATCCACAGTATTTACTTATTGTACAAAACTGTTCCCAGTATGAGTTATTAAGCAGAGTGAAAATTTAAAATTTTTCAACTTTAGGAACACATTTCCTTAAACTTTTAACCCTGGCCATCTCAATTATTTACCAGAATGGAGGGGTCAGGAAAAGGAAAACTTTCATTTTCTACTTCTGAATTTTATTTCTTCACCCCCAAAATTGCAGCATTAGAACATTAAAATACACATCCAGAAATAAATTCCATTTCATCATGGAAAAAAAGTGACATAATCTTGGGGCATGTGCATTTTGAAGCTCTCAGCAGAAAATCAAAGGACAAATGTTTTTCCCATATTTCCTACACTGGGAGCCACGATGTCCCCAAACTTCCCTCCTGACAGCCTTACATGTGGCTATGTCCCCATCCAGGGGAATTAGACTCTCCAACCTACAGTTTATATATTCCACCACCAAGAACTGTGCCATACACTTTAAAAACATTTCTTAAGGCCGGGCGCAGTGGCTCACACCTGTAATCCCAGAACTTTGGGAGGCCCAGGCAGGTGGATCATGAGGTCGGGAGTTCCAGACCAGCCTGACCAATATGGTGAAACCCCGTCTCTACTAAAAATACAAAGTTAGCCGGGTGTGGGGGCACATGCCTGTAATCCCAGCTACTCAGGAAGCTAAGGCAAGAGAATCACTTGAATTCGGGAGGGAAAGGTTGCGGTGAGTCGAGATAGTGCCACTGCACTCCAGCCTGGCAACAGAGTGAGCCTCCGTCTCAAAAAAAAAAAAAACACAAAACGACAACAACAAAAAATTAGCTGGGCGTGGTGGCGCGCACCTGTAATCCCAACTATTTGGGAGGCTGAGGCAGGAGAATCGCTTGAACCCGATAGGCAGAGGTTGCAGTAGGTGGAGGTTGCAGTGACCAAGATGGTGCCACTGCACTACAGCCTGGCGACAGGGTGAGACTCCATCTCAAAAAAAAAAAAAAAAAATTTAAATACATATATGGATTTTATATGTAAAATAAATAGAATTTTTATATGTGTATGTTTATATGTAAATAACATATATATGTATTT